GACTCGGAGTTGTGGGTGCAAACGCTCCATACGTGTACGGAAAAAACGAGTTCAGGTCAACACGTCAACCGCCAAAAGACAAACAAAGCTGGAGAGACATCCCTAATTTGAAATGAGAAAAGCTGAAAACGTCCAGAAGAGAGAAACTGAAACCTGCTGCAAACAGATTTGCTCAAGATCAGAGTGAGGGCTTTATGCAAAAACCTCTTCTGCCTACAGCACTAATTTAACTTACGCAGGAAGTGTAGGAGTTTTTCATTATATATATATTCAGGAACAATGAAGTGTTGTGTGAAGACATGCTTACAGCATTGTCTTAGAAAATGCTAAGGGAGGAAGCCGGAAAAAGGAGTTGTAACCAACATAAAGGCTGAAATAAAAAAAGGCTTTTCTCCGGCTGTGGCTTAAGCTAACAGTCTTATTGTTCATTATCACATTTTCCTGGTCAAATTTTCCCGTTTTAAGGCTAAACCTTTGGTGTGTATGTACTTATGTACATATGAATTCCCCTTTCTTTGCATGTAACCCCTTCCATCCAAAGCTAAATGATGTCACCGTTCAGGATCCAATCAGAGCTGCAGACTCAGAAAATGATGAAACAGATAAACTCCAACAAAATGCTCCTGCTACATTTAAAGACTCCAGTTAAAGTCCACCGGGAAAACAGTTAGCCCAGAACAAGTCTGACACCCAGAAAGACACATAGAAAAAAAAAAAAAAAAAAATATATATATATATATAAATAAATCTAAATAAATAAGCTAAGTTAGTTTAAAGTTCACATAGTGAAAGTTAGAGTAAGTTAGGGTTGGTCCTGTATCTCAGTCTCCACCTCTACCTCCACAAAGTGCCAATAAAAACACTTTTTATTGATGATTTCTTTATCATTATTTCTCCTTACATCTTTATTATATAATGCAATACTAATTTATTGCTATGTGTGATTATCTACAGTATTTATTAAGGAGTTATCGTAGATTTTTGGGCTGTGGAACGAATTATACTAAATATTCTTGCAAAAAGGTTCAGCAAAACATCCGAAACAGACTCAAATTGTAGAGAATGGAGAATGAAATGAGCAAAATGTCAAACAAAAGATTTTGTCTGAGAAAATGCAAAGGGAGGAAGCCGGAAAAAGGAGTTGTAACCAACAATAAGGCGAAAACAGGTGCAGACTCAGCTGTAAATGCGGGCTGAGGAGTAACCGTCAACAGCCTGAAATGTGGGCCGTACAGCTGTACGTTAACGTCCCAAAGGAGTTCCCAACTTTGTTTTCTTGAACCCATTTCAACCCACCATAAACAGGACGAATATCGGTGAAACTGTAAAGAGAAACGAGTCTTTCCAACCCATCGGGGAGGAGCGAGTTTTTAAAATTTAAACTCATCTCACAAAGACTGCTGATCCAGAGTTTGTCTCATTTGACCGGGGAGTAAAAACCTGAGATCTGGAAATGTGTCCGGGGCTAGAACCGGGTTATAAAGCCTCCAGGAACATCTTAGGAGGAAGAAGCACACGGGACAAAGTTCAAAGGTGATCAAACCGCTGTAAAAATGTAAAAACGTTTGCCTGGGAGTCACTAAACATGAAGTAACATTAAACTTTGCAGAAATGCACAGCTGAAGTAGTCTTTAGGGGCTCCATGTGGTCTCATAGAGACGTTTCAACAGGTCAAAGGTCATCTGGAATTTGTACATTTCAGAGATAAAATGATGAGATTCCAGAGGCAGAGCAAAGGCTGAAGATTGGCCAGTGATCCGTGCAGCTGAGGAGGAAGGAGGGAGGGCTCAGATCATCTGTCCCCGGGCCTGGACTCGAGTTACAGACCTGTGGAAACTACCTGAGTCCTGGATCTGGATCTGGATCTGTTACCTGCTGCACAAAACCAGATCCCCATGAATAATCCAACACAAAGTTCACCCGCAAACGGCGGCCTGAGGGGGTCCCCCCGTGCTCCTCTGATGTGTAACCTCAAAAACCAAAGCTTTTATGTAACATTACCACCAGGGAACCACAGACACCATATCATAACAAAACCCCTGGAAGCTGTTTCCGGGGACCAGAGCTAAGGGCCTCCTCCGGCCATTGGCCACCGGCTAGCAGCTAATTTGGGTGTCACCGACTCTTTCCGCGAGAAACCCCGGCGGCGACTGCCTTACCTTGGTGATTAAAAAGCCTCCACAGCTTCGTAAACAGTATCCCCATGACTGACGCTGACGTTTTTACGGTGCCAGCTCGTGAGAATCCGTGGTGGGCGAGCTAGCTAGCTAGCTAGCTAGCGTTAAATACAACTTCCAACCCGGCTAGCCGGCTTGCTAACTACGCCGACAAACCGCTGTCAAGACGTAAAACCGTCATTCTAGGGTAAATTGACATCTGCTGCGTCTGCCCCAGAGGTTTCAAGCCTAAATGTGACGCCTGGAAATGTTGCCAGGGACAAAACGAGAGCGCTAGCCAGCGCTGCTAGTTGGCTGATGTCAGCTGGCTGTTGTGGTGCGCGGTGGTGTCAGCGGTGCGCATGCGCACGAACACTGTCGACGGAAAAGGGGCAACATAATACAAAATAATATCAAATATAACGTAAAACGCTATTTATAATATATTATAATATAATATAGAATAGAATATATTCTAATATATTATATATAGTGTTAGATTGTGTATTAGAATACAATATATTCTAATATATGAGAAGAAAAAAAAAGAAAAAAAAATTGTTTCAATTTTGGAAATGTAAAGTTTTCACAGTTTATCCCAAAAACACGTATTTCTGTAGAACGGCATCAGAGTTGTTTATTTCAATACATTTGTAAATAACAGTGCACAAAACCTATTGATGCATCATTTTCTCACAGGCTTAATTCAATATCTTTAGATTGGTGCTTCAAGTCCACTGCATCCAAACAACAAGAACTACTGTATATAGCAGACAGGAACAGAAGTTTCTTTGTAGATATTCCTCCTCTAGAGCCACTGCACACTGAGACCTCTACTGCCCATGGAGTTAAAACAACAGTATAACAAATTACAAGATACAATATTATGTCATTTAGAGGTAATATTTCAGCAATCCTGTACGATCTGGCAGCATATATGGATGAAAAATACAGGAAATCTGCTCTACGTTTGCATGAATGGGACCTAAAAAAGGCAGAACAGTACATCCTAAGTGCTTTCAGACAGCTTCCCATTGATCAATAGTTTACATTGATATTCAAATCAAAATGATTAGAAAACTATCACTGTAAGTGTGGAGGAGGGGCTTGATCAGTAGCTAATCTATGACACTGTTACAGCATTGTGTGATTTGATCAAATCTAACAAAACCTTTCATGGTAAAGGCCATTTATATTTGCTATCTGTGGTGCAAGACTAAGTTAAATAAATGGAATGTAACTTGATTCAGTAAAAGTGGAACTTTACACAAGCTAAGATGTGTTTTTTCTGATTATTTTGAAGGTATTTACATGTGGAAGCCCTCAATATAAATCTCCCTCGAAATTCCCTTTATTTCTATTTTAAATATTGTCCTTGAAGACATAAGTGAATAAATATATGACATGTTAAACAAAAAACACGTGTGCAAGACAGATCTATGTGCTTCTTTCCGGTTTTAAAATCTATTTTTCTGTAACAAATCCTATATTCTTATAAATGTAACACAAAACTCAGAGTCCAACTCCTATCAGATGAAGATGAACATAAAAGCTACACTTCCAGGTCTAAATGACCTCTCATTCCTGAGGTTTGGAGCTTTGAAATACATAAAAAATCTGCCTGACTAGAGATTTAGTTTGGGACAAAAACGCGATTTGGAGAAGACAAAGAATGGGGCGACTGCACGAACTGCAAAAGTTTGGAGCTGTGGGGTTTCTTCGCTCCACAAAACCTCTGGAGCTGGAGACTTTTGTCCTTCTGTCAGATCCCCAGTGGGCTCAGAACAAAACCGTCTAACACCAGTTTGAGTCGGACAGGCCCCGATAAATTCAGACCTAGCTACATGCTACAGTAACAGCTGAAACAGTGGGAGGGATCCAGACCCTGATCTCCCTTACAGGCTCTCTCTGGGACATCCTGATACCTGGTTCGGCTTTGAAACCACATATTCTCCCGTCTTGTGCTGCTTCAACCAATGAGAAACAGGGGATGCTCTCTTAGGTCAGAGCCTCCGATCGGCCTGAACCGAAGCCGAAACCGGAAACGAGGCTCTACACGGACACGGGAGGCTGTTACAGTTCAAATACAGTGGGGGAAATAAGTATTTGACCCCTTGCTGATTTTGCAGGTTTGCCCACTTACAAAGAATGCAACGATCTATAACTTTAACTCATTGGCTGCCAAAGATGTCTATAGACGTCTTTTATGTTTTTCAACGAGAGTGGCTGGGGGACGATCTGCTAAAGCTTGTCCGTAAATATCAGGCTTCTAGACAGAGTATGTAGTAACAAATTGACCCTCTAGGGGGCAGTGCCACTTTTGATGGGAGATGAGCATAGACTGTAGGCAAATAAGAAAAAGGTAACGGTTCGCTATGAGAGAACATGTCGCCGGTGAGACGCAAGTCCAGGAAGAACGGAATAAGGTAGAAACAAAAACATTTTTCCTGATGAAAGAAGAGAGTCTACTCTTTCTTTTGGTGTGTTTGGTGTTTACATAGTCATAGCACAAACTATTCTGTGGCTCTTGAAAAATCCTTCAAAATGCTCAAAAAACTCTGGCAGTATGGGACTCTCTGTTCTGAAAATGGCTGGCAGTCAATGAGTTAATCATATGTACATTCTAACAGTGAAAGACAGAATACCAAATAAAATTCCAGAAAATCACATCATATGAATTGACAACCATCTGATGAGGAAAAATAGGCATTCTTTGTAAGTGGGCAAACCTGCAAAATCAGCAAGGGGTCAAATACTTATTTCCCCCACTGTAAGAGTGGCGGTTTTGTCGGTTTTATCGTGTTTGAGCTGTTTTCCCGGTGGATTTCCGGAGGAGGAACCGGCCTAAAGCCGGTGCCTGGAGTCCTGGCTGTAGCCCCCGGGGGAGCCCCGGTTCCGGTGGGGCTTGTAGGAGTCCTGGTAGGGGTCCTGGTAGGGGTCCTGGTAGGGGTCCTGGTAGGGGTCCTGGTAGTCCTCCTCCACCAGAGGGGAGTGCTCCCGGCTCTGCTGGGATCCGGAGGACAGGCGGTTGCGGTTCTTCCGGGCCCGTTCGTTGTGGTGGTTCTCGTCCACGGGCATCAGGCTCCGGCGCTCCACCGGCGAGTGCTCCGCCGTGTTGTTGCTGTTCCGGTTCCTCTGGGCCTGTTTCAGGAGATTCAAGATTCAGGAGATTCAAGAATTTATTGTCATTGGCAAAAAAGGCAACGAAATTGTGTTTGGGGTACAATACTTAGTAGCAGCAAGTTCCAAGTAAAGTGCAGCAAAGATTATTAAGTGCCATAATGCTTGCCCCCCCAACACACACACACACACACACACACACACACACGATAAATAAATACACAGCTGTTTGAGACAGGAAAGACTTATATTATCTATTTTTAAAAAAAGCTAGACACACAATTTACAGAGTTTAAGCAGAAACCATCCGTCAGTGTGTGTAAACAGAGATCAGATTGACGGAGGAAAGACTTTAGATTTAGATATATTATCTACAGAGTTAACCCTTTAAAGCCTGACCCAAGAACAAAACAAAACAGAAAATTACTTTTTTTTTGGTTTGAATTCCTTATTTGGCCTTTTAACAAAATATGTAAAAAGAAAAAACAGAAATAAATTGTTATTATTAATAATTTATAATTTTATAATTTATTTCTCCTTACATAACTATTGTATAATGCTATACTATTTTATTGCTATGTGTAATTATCGACAGTATTTATTAAGGAGTTATCGTAGGTTTTTGGGCTGTGGAACGAATCATACTTAATATCGTTATGGGAATATGTGTACCAACATACGAATATTTTAACATACATAGATGGATATTTCATTTAATTTTTCATTTAATTTATTTTGAAACATGATATGATTTAACAATGTTTACATTGAATGCTTCACAAACATGCATCATGTTTCAAAAAGGAGTAGGATGAAGCATAAGCTTATTAAGCGCTACCCCTCATACTAACCACTATACTGACTCCCACCCCCGTGTTTTACCCTGTTAAAACCCAGGAGTTAGCTTTTCCCCGAGGTGGCGGGGTACCTGGATGGCGGCGGGATACGGGGAGAGGGCCGTGGAGCCCAGATTGCGACCCAGGAGGGGGTTGAGCGGCGTGCTGAGGGACGTGTGCGTCGCACGCCAGTACGCCTCCAGGTACTCGGCCAGGTGTTCGCAGGCATCCTCCAGCTGGTTCTCATCCAGAATGATGTCAAACATCTCCTGAGGGGGGCGAGACGGAGACGGAGAAAACCAATTCAACTGTGTAACATGAAACAATTATTTCTACTTTAATCCGTTTAGTTCTGAATTTATTAATAAAATGTGTATTTTTGGATGGATAGCACTTTTAGACGGAGGGGAAAGTGAGCAGCTGCAGGCTTTCAATAGGCTCCGCCTCTGCTGGCCTGAGAAAATATCTGAATCACAGACTGATGTTAATTATATTTTGTCCATGAATACTTATTAAATATTTCCAAATGGTCTGTCCGCTCCCTTTCAAAGCTTTTCCCCTGGTTGCGCTGCTTCCAGACGTGTATTTTCATATTAAAGCATTTAACCAATCACATTTCAGCCATCATTTGTTACTAGGCAGGGTCAAAGTGAAAAAATAAAAAAATGAAAATAAAAAAAATAAAAAAAGATGTCTGTCAGGAGGCCATCACAATCTTTTTGCGGGCCCTTTAACAGAAAATAATAATAAATAATAAATAAATAATCATAATAAATATCGATTAAACTGTTGCTTTAACCAATCAGATTTTAAATTGGTGACAACAGGGCCCTCTAGCCCTCTGCCCTCTGATTGGATAGTCAGATAGCGTACCGGCTAAAGCTAGCAAACAAACCGAAATACAGTTGTGTTGTGTTGTGTTGTAATAGTTATTTAATCTCCCCACAATGGGTGAAGGAAGAGAAGAAATCGATTTGGAGGCAGATTTACTGTCAAGCCCATTTTTAAGACGGACTTTTCAAGAAAAGTGAGTGAGTAAAATTTTGCTTTTTTCCTAATTAATATTGCGAGTTTAGGAGGATATTATTGATGTTTTTTTGGGGGGGCTCACAGCTGTAGATGCAGTAGTAACAGACTTGTGCACCCCTGATCTTTATACTGTATTTCTACATAATAAAGTCATTTTTATAACCATAAAATAGTTATTCACTGGTGGAAGTGAAGGTGCGGATGGGAGGTTTTCTTACGGACGGACACTGGGAGAGTTTCTCTGCTGCCACGAGCTGCACGTTCAGGTGTTTGCTCTGAGACTTCCCTCTTGATTTGATTAGCCTCTGCAGGACCTGTGGAGCAAAGTGTTAGTTCGATTCTTTAGTTGGAAACCAGAGTAGATCAAACTTATAAAAATAACATTTATTGGGTCACAGTTAAGTATATCAGCTGGGCTCTAACAGACAAAAACCTCTCTCTGGGTCTCAGTGGGCAAAGAGACCTGAGATCTGGGTGTGATGGGTATTTGTCTCCTGAGTGCTTATTGGCCAGTTACTTACTAACCCTAACCCTATCCAATCCAATCCAATCCAATCCACTTTATTTGTATAGCACGATTTCAACAAACACAAGGTTTCCAAAGTGCTGCACAAAAAGATATACAGAATAAATAGATAACACAATGGAAGTACGGCAAGAAAAGATGAGGTACAAAGTAAAAAATAAAAGTAAAAATATGCATGTGTATAACCCTGACATGAACAGGCCAGGTCCTAATTAATGCAGATAACATTGGAATGTGATAACAAAGTTTGTTTTTGTGTGTTGACCTAAAGGTGGATCTAATGCAACAGAGAGAAAAAAAGAAAATCTGTGTTTACAGCCAGAGAATTGAACACAAAAATATAGTTCTAAAAGGAATAAGACAATCAGTCATTTACATAAATTATGTTTAGTTTAGTTTAGTTTTATTAGGATCCCCATTAGCTGCCAAATGAATTGCCATTAGTCTTCCTGGGGTCCTCACATGAAGAAATTATATTACATTATAAACAGATCATAAAAAATAAAAATAAAAATCATAGTACGAAATAATAAAAACATAAACAAGAGTAGAACTATACAACATATATACACAGGTCAATGTATGTGATAGCATACAATGCTAAAGTGAGTAATTATAGCCAAATTCTAACAAAAGGAAAAGAAAAAAAAACTTTTTATCAAGCTAGTTTAATGTTTCAAACCAATATCGACCCTTGGGTTGTTTTTACAGTCTTGTTTGTTTTACAGACCTTGGGTGAGGAAACCTTCACGTGGACGATGATGGGGGCTAAGGAGGTCTTGATTAGCTGGGCCGGGTGGTTGATTGTGTCTGCGTCCAAAACTACCAGCTGGAGAGACCTGGCCAGCTCGAAGATCCTCTCTATCTCGCTCTGGACCTCGGCTGGTGGGAAAACAGGGACACAAGAGAGAGAGGGATGAGAGGAAGCGGCACATCATTGAGCGGGACGGTTCCTGTAGTTTTACCGAGGCTGGAGCGGGTGTTGGATCTCTCAATGATGGCCCTCTTACTGGGGTTGTTGAGTACTGACCTCTTGGCCAATGAGATGTCGGCCGTTACCCGGGTGATGGAGATCCTGTAATAAGGGAACAACAGGTCAGGCGGAGCAATGTGCGGGCAACTGTGAGATAGAAGGAGCTGCTCACCGCCCGTCAAATCTGTGTTTCAGGAAGTCAAAAAGCGCCTTTTGCATCATGTCCGTCACCTGGAATACACAAGAGTTAGTTTAGAGCCAAACCAAACCACCAATCAGCTTCCATCCATCCATTAAGGTAACCGATTATTCCCTAATGGGGTCCGGAGGGGGCGGAGCCTATCCCAGTAGCCAATGTGGAGAGGCGGGGTCACCCTGGACGGTCCCCAGTCCATCACAGGGACACACAGAGACACACAAGGACCAACAACCACACTCACTCACACTAAGGGCAGTTTGGAGTCCAACAACCTAACATGCAGGTTTTTGGAGGGTGGGAGGAAGCCGGAGAACCCGGAGAGAACCCACAGACACAGGAGAACATGCAGAACCACCCAGAAAGGTCCTGGTTCCCCCGGGACTCTAACCCAGAACCCTCTGGTCCTAGTTCCCCCGGGGACTCCAACCCAGAACCCTCTGGTCCTGGTTCCCCCGGGGACTCTAACCCAGAACCCTCTGGTCCTAGTTCCCCCGGGGACTCCAACCCAGAACCCTCTGGTTCCTGGTTCGTAGCAGAATCTGAAGCCGAGGAACTGAACTGACCGGTGGGAAACGAAAAGTTCCACAGTTGGAACTGCTTCTGAAGAAAAAGGAGTTCCCAGCATCTAAAGTTCGTCTCCTAATTTGGAGATTTCGTTATGATGGAGGAGAGAGGAGAGTTTTCAAGTGGCCTCAAAGTGTGTTTCCCTATTTCAGAGGTCCATCCGTCAGGACTGAGGCGCTCATATTCCGACCGGGGGCCTCCGATTAAAAACTGTTCACAAGGATTATTGGGACACGTCTTTGAAACTAAGCCTTTTGATTCTTAGTATCTGAGGAAATTACAAATGTGCAACAAAAAACTCATTCATGAGGTGAAAGTTCAGCGTTTTATTTGGTCATATCTTGGTCTTCTTACTGCTTTCACCAGATCTGGATTAGTGGTCAGAGGTTGGAGGTATTTCTTCTTAATTTACTAAATTTTTAAAATATTTGAAGTCTGTTCTTTGGTTTTCTCGGCTATATATAATTATATATGGACATATGTACGTATAAATGTAATAATTCTCAGAGAATTATAATAATAATTAACCCTAACTTTACATATTAAAAATATTTAGGAAATTAAGAAGAAATTAAGAAATTAAGAATCTCTGAGTCACCAATTAAATAATAGTTTCCTGTAGTGTCTTTAATTTTCCTTAAAAACATCCATAACCAGCTGGTTTGATGTATTTCACTCAATGTAAAATATTTTATTTGTCTGACACACTTTTCTCTCCGATTTCCTGAAAATAAAAGGCCGATTGAGAACCCACTTTTGCAGCGGCTTTAGCAGAAACGCTCCTTTTTTTGCTGCTTAGAGGCGTAGTTTCATTTTACATCGGGACTTATTAGAAAAATGCCCCTCACACCTTTGTTAGTGATGGATTAGCTCTGCTTAAACATCGAATCTGAACACGGGCTCCAGCTCTGTATCAGCTTTCAGATGATCACAATAGCTCTAAAAACACAGCTTATAGTTCATTTAAATGAGCAAACAGACTGGTTTGGTTGCAGGATTTGAGTTCTGGTCGCGTCCTGCTTTTTTTAAAAGAGAAATCTACCCATTTAGTTTGTTTTTTGCTGAGTTTTAATGACTTTTCTTTGCTGCACTTGGTCTTCGTTAGTCATTATTCCGACCTGTTTTACACTCCCAGCCTTGTTGGATGGTGTACTGGTAATTTCTCCACGGACTCTCGGTTTGTTTTGTCAGCGCGCTTTGTTTAACTCGGAGCTTTTGGAGATTATCTCCAGTCCTCGCCTCCTCCTGTGGGTCAGCTTCCAGTCTGCAAACAAACGCAGGTGCCAGAAAAAACCCGTTTCCCCGTCTCCTCCAGAGTCCTCGCTTCAGTTATTCCGTGTTTCTAATTTCAAACCTGCTCCCTTTTTTTTTTTTTCTTCTTTCTTTTCTCAGACTGACGCGGTTTACCCAGAAGGTTGTTGCCACGGCAACGCCGGAACGGGAGGCGAGGACCGCGGTTCCATGACAACCGACTCCAGGGCTCCCGTCAACTCCTCGGCCTCCTTTTTTATCGTTTAACGCTGCGTCTGAGCCGATCCAGAAGATCCAGATAAAGGTTTCTGGACCTCAGCTAGCTTTTTATCACCTGGCACAGAGAGCTTTCAACTATTTATCCGCTT